AATATCTGTAAAAATAAATAAGTTATTTTGTACATGTGTGTAGTCGTTCGGTACTGAACGTAATTAATCCCATTATAAGGAGAATATATTAGGTATTACTTGTGAAACATATGAAAAATATGTAGTAAACTCATAACATCTGTTTAATGAAATTCTTATGTAACATATATTTAACATTGAATTATACATTTTATCAACATTTTTATACAATTTACCAAATTGTACTTTGTCACTTTTATACTTAAAATTTCATTGTCAACCAAACTGTAATATATATAGAGTATTGGCATTTAAATTAATGTACTAATCAGTTTGAATTTTGTGCAAAGCAGTCAAAAGTAATATAAATTCACTCTTCCAATGTGCAGAATATTCTATGAAAGTATAATTCATTTAAAACATTGGGCTGTAACTCTGGTTAGGCATCTTCCAACACATGCAGGTGGACAATATGGTATACATTTTGGTGGACAAGCTCCACATGACATTGGGGGTGTACATATTGTAATTTTACATGGTGGAGGGCATGCCATACAAAGTGGTGGAGCACATGGATAAGATATACATGATGGACAGGGTGGTAACTGGTACTGAATTGTAGATACTGGACAGCAGGATGGTTTGCAATAGGGTATAGAATTTCCTCCACAAGACATATTATTTTTTTCTTTAATAAATTTTTCCTTTGTATGTTATTTTAAGTTATTATAAACATCAAATTTTGAGAAATATTATTTGTACAAGATAATAGACAATTGAAGTTTAACAAAAACATTATTCATTTATTATGTATTAAAGACATATTCAGTCTACTCTTCTGGGATACATCATTTTGATTCTCTTTTTAATAAATTAATTTGAGTGAAAAATATAATAATAATATTAAAAAATGAATATGTAAGAAATATAAATTCTACAATTCTTTTAAAAGTCAGAAATCAAAATTTTTGTGTTCAATTATTCAAATTTAATTAGTAAAAATGCCATGTGATGGAAAAAATCCAAATTGTGAAAAAAGAAGGGAATTACTAACACAATTAAAATGTTTAATTAGTTCTATGGAAAAGAAGTAAGAATATGTTGGAACTAAATTAATGAACACAGGTAGAATTATAAATTAATTATTACAGGAAACCATGTGAATGGGATGAACCACCTAGTTCCCCTGCTGTTATTTGTTCTTCACCTTGTGCTTCCAGTTCTCCTTATTGTGTAAGTAGAAATTAATTTGAATGCACCAATTATATCATTGTACATGTTATACATGTACTATACATTTTAAAATACTTCCATGTAGTAATCCTCTGAAGAATAATATAATAAAAATCAATCTTTCCTGGTCTGTCGAAAGTAAAATTTATGACACCCGGTGTCGTTAACTGAGTTGTAGCGTAATACGATATAACAGCAATAATGCTTTTTTTGAAATGGTATAGTCGGTTGAATCGATATAGTGAGGTGGAAAATTACAGCGTTAAGCGGCGATACAATTAACGTAGCCGCACCTAGGGCCGTACGTAATTTGTGAATTGAATTTATATAATGTAATTACATAATTGCTGTATTTGCAAAAATTAATCTGCAGTTGTCAACGATTAAGGCGTAGCAAAGTTTTTATATACACTGCAATAAAAGAACTAATTCCTAAAACTGTTATTTTGGCACTCGGATTATGTGTATTTTGAAACGTGACCGATTTTCTCGAATAATTTTCAATTGCTTATAACTAAAAAATGAAGCGGAGTTCAAAATATTTTCATTCTGGATTTTCGTCTTATTTTCTTGTTCACAATTACCTTTTACAATTTCTACTATTTATTGCCAAACATCCCCTATATACATATTTCATACGTGAAAGAAGCTAAATTTGGTATTTTCAATTTCAGAATCCAGTTAAACCGTGTAAAAGCTTTGATTTTCGAGCAAGTATTATATATAGATGCGAATGTATCAAAAGAAATGGCCTGCAAGATAGATGTATGATGTGGGACTGTATGGGTAGACCAGAATGTATGACAAAATTGTATCCCATCTGTACTCCAGGCCGTAATGCGTTATTGAAACTGACTGACCTTGGAGACATAGAAGTTGCTTTAAGAAAATTTTATTGTGCTGATGAAGCAAGAGAAGTTGCACTTGCTGCATATTGTAGATTAGCATGTAATAATACTGGGAAAAAATCTTGTTCTACAACCGAGCAAAATTCAACGTGTTCAAAGCCTAAACCTGCTTGTGCTCAACCTTGTGTTCCTTGTTGTATTCCACCAACTCCACCCTGTATTACCTCTTGTATTCCTCCTTGTACGTCTTTTAATATTTGTGTTCCATGTCCACCGCCATGTCCACCACCATGTCCACCGCCATGTTTCCCATGTCCTCTACCATGTCCACCACCATGCCCACCACCATGCCCACCGCCGTGTTTCCCATGTCCTCTACCATGTCCACCACCATGCCCACCGCCGTGTTTCCCATGTCCTGTACCATGCCCACCACCATGCCCACCACCATGCCCACCGCCGTGTTTCCCATGTCCTGTACCATGCCCACCGCCGTGTTTCCCATGTCCTGTACCATGCCCACCACCATGCCCACCACCATGCCCACCGCCGTGTTTCCCATGTCCTCTACCATGCCCACCACCTTGTTGTCCACCACCTTGTTGTCCACCACCTTGTCCACCATCTTGTCCTCCACCTTGTCCACCATCTTGTCCACCACCATGTTCACCATGTTGCGTATTATCATGCCCACCAGCATGTCTATCACCGTGCCCACCACCGTGTCCACCACCGTGTCCACCACTATGTCCACCACCGTGTCCACCATTATGTCCACCGCCGTGCCCTTCACCATGCTTTCTACCATGCATACCGCCATGTCCATTACCGTGCTGTTAAACACATGCTTCTTTTCCATGTCTGTCATTATCATCTTGTGCACCAAATTGTTTATAACTATATTGTTTTGTTCTATATGTTTCATAATCTTCACCTATCTGCTTTTCTTGGATTATCTTGTTTACACTGTACATGTTTTTGTTCGTAATTTTATTGCAAATTTATTTTTCTATCCAACACTCCTTAATGCATTTTGCATCCACTTTTTACCATTATTGGAAGGACTTTTTATACATTGATGCATGTGGTATAAATTTCAATACATTGTAAAGTACGACAATTTTTAACGAATAAATGAGCTGTTTCATTCGAATAATGTATTTATAGTTCATTACTATAGTTAGATCGAAAACTACACATACCATGTATCGATATGACAGAAAATATTTGTGCCGAATGCTGTTATAATATATATTTTATGGTACAAACTGTTTGTATCGTAAAAAGTTATTATTGTTATATGGGTATACAAACAAAATGCACATATTTTCTCAAATAGTGAATGTACATGCAATAATAATTGGTTTATGAATAATGTTTTGGATATCGTGATAGTATAAGTATTTTTGAAGTTAAAACAGAACATTATAAAAAGAAAATACATGGTTGATTTCTAAACTATATTAAAATTAATGCTTTTATCATACCTGTAATCCGGTCTATATTTTGGCAATGTGTAAGATAAGGAAACCAATAGAAAGAAATAAGGATACAATTAAAGAAACGAGTAAGACAAGGAAAGATATAGGGATAGACAAGGACAGAAAACACGAAGAGCAAAATTAACGCCATCTCGCGTTTGGTAATCAGAACTACCATTTTTTAACAGGAATACAGAATATAAACAGAGGTATTAGACAAAGAACGCACTACTGTGCGAGAAGGACAGAGAGTTTCCTATTGGTCCACGGGCCCCTGAGATCCACCAACCAGGCCCTAAGTCAAGTCGGCCGGTGAAAAATTATTAATAACTCAATAATTACGATGATATTGTGAACTTTTAGGATTGAAAAATGAAGTATGAACTTTTGGCAACATTCTCATATAGGTTTTGAGGCTGTAGATACTTTCGTTAATTAGTTATTAATAATTCTTGTGTAAATTGTCGGCAACGATAAGACAGTCTTCCACGGTTTTTCATTAATATCATTGTTTAGTATCAATTCCCTGTACAATCTTTATATGCATCTGGAAGGGAGCATCAGTGGCTACATTCTTTTATAATTTTCAGTAACATATACGTCATAGTTTGATAGTTATTAAATATTATTGGGGAGAATGCTATACTCGTCGAATTCAAGAGTAACACTCTTTTGTCAATTTAATAGAATTACGCGATTATCTGTATACTTTTAAGATTGTAGAATGTAGTACGGACTTTCCTTTATATTCTGCCGTAACTTTGGTACACGCATGTATGTGGTTTATTAAATATTAGCAATTGTTTATAACAATTCAGCTCACCCGGATACGCTGAGCAGTGCACTCTCCCATATAATGTTTAATAACTGGTAAACTACAGTCACAATATTAATAAAAATTATACGAGAATCTAGCTAAAGGAATAGGCTTTCCAATGAATGTATGAAAGTACATAAATTATACGAGTGAAGGTACGAAATTAATGACAAACCGTAAGTTACTATCTTATCGTTCCCAACAATTGGCACAACAATTATTAATAACTAATTATTAAAAAGACTTAGGGCCTTCAAACCTATACGAGAAAGTTTCTAGAGATTTATACTTTATTCTTCAATACTAAAAGTTCACTAAATTATCGTAAATAATAAGTTATTAATGATTTTTCACCGACCGACCTGACTTGGGGCGTGGGAGATGAAGCTTGGCGTCCGGCGGGCCAATAGGAAACGTTTTCTTTCTATCCTTCTCGCACAGTAGTGCGTTCCTTGTCTAATACCTCTGTTGATATCCTATGTTCCGAGTAACGAGTCGTTAGTTCGCGCATCCAAACACGAGATGACGTTACAATAAGTCTACATTATCGACGCTATTTTTGTGGGAATTTCAAAATTTTTGCTCAATTTTCGATGTTTTGGCTAGAATTTCGAGATTTTTTGATTTTGTGCGTTCCTAGTAGTTTCAGGACTTAGTTTATTCAATGTTGCAATGGAATATTCTTTAAACAATGAGATATTTGCAAAAGAAAATTGACGTGGTGTGTAAGGGAGCATTGAATAGACAGTAAAATGCTGTAAAACAATACTGGTATATTGTAACCTTTTGTAAAATACATTTTGTACAGTTATCTATTACTTTTCCCGATGTCCAAGTTCTTTTCTTGATTTCTATGGTGTCTTGGAATGTCCATCTGTAATTCACAGGAACAGAATATTAATTTTTCTAATTTTTAATAAAAGTTATAAACAATTTCTTACTAATCTCCCGAATGCAATGGTTAATTCAATGCAAAATTAATATATTGAGATATTCTTTTAAGCTTAAAGCATACATTTAAATTGTTCTTTTGACAGGAAATATCAATTATTGGATAATTAAAATACTTGAAAATAAAGTAGAAACTTTATTTTACTATTTACTCACTATAACTAATTGTAAGCAAGTGTTACAGGCAATATTAAGATGTAATATTAAAGGACGAACTTTCACGAACAGCATGGCCTCGAATTACATGGTGTTGCACAATTCGATTGTAGATTGGATTCTTGTTTACACCGGTACCATTTATCAGTCTACAGAAAAAGAATAAAATAGCAAAGCTAAGAACCTTAGCATAAAGATTGGAGAATGTTAGTACTTTTTATTTACATAGCGATGAAAGTAAGTGATTTCTTTAAAGAAAATTAATGTTTTTGGTATTTTATGTTTAAACTACTCCTGGGAGAAAATTTAAGAAATGATTCTACAAGCTAAAACAAGACAAAACACAAGAACAAAAAAATTTGCGTTTGAAGCTCGTTTTTTAGTTATTAACGTTTAAAAATACCCCTGTAACGGAGCAAACCTCCCTACACTAACGAATACAGGGTACATCATGACACAGGGGCTACTCAAAACCAATAATACACAGCGAGTACTTTACCTCGAACAAATCGTAGAAAAGGAAACAGTAACATTCGACACGTCAGTGGTATTACCGACAAACATGTTGTAAGTATGGTGGACATTTTTAATTATGTTTAAAAATCTTTAAAATTCACACAGGTGATAATATTATATTTCAGGTGATAAAGTTAAGTGAAACACACTGTGTATATATAAAAAAACGTAACAGAACAATAAAAGGTAAAAGAAAAGCACGTAAATATTTGTATACATACACCCTGTAACACGTAACTTCGTCCAGGAATGGGGTATAGCAGATCTGATCCGATGCTGTTTAAATTTGAAGTTAAAATTGCATCAGAAGTAGAACTGTAGGTGATAAGTGGTCTTTTCATAGGAAATGTCCAAATTGGCTTGCATTTTTCAGGACTAGGTTTTACGTACCAGGCTTCTGGATCGTACATACAATTGTATTTCACGCACATTATTGGCTTGCTCGTTTTCCTGAAAGTTTTAATAATACAGTGTCACTTTTGAAAATGATATTACCCTTTAAGTCTTAAAATCTCATGTTACTCTGCACTTCTATTTTGTGTCATTCAAGTTTCACCATGTAACAACAAAAAAACCATCGATTTCAATCCTTACAAGCAATCCATTTTGTTAAAGAGATAATTTATACGTTGAAGCTCATTGCCAGCACTTGATATTCTATTAGAAAATCCCCAATTTCCAATTGCTTCCGCTACACCGTTACCTCTTGAAAACTCCAAGTTGCACTGCATTTTTGCTCGAATTATACGAACGCTTTGCAAGTATTAACGATAAAATGAATGGAAGTAAAATGATAAACTTAAATAACTTTTAATTTAGATTACCGAAAAATATTTAGAACCTTATAACCAAAAATAACAAAAGTGTGATATTATTATGTCTATATATATTTATATACCACACAGCTGTATATAAAACAACTGCATAGTTTCAAACTTCATGTAATAACTGTTAACGCAGCTTCCCGCGTTTCTTTGCGGTTGGAAGGTCGGGTTGGCGTTGGTAATTATTGCACGTGTATGTGTCAACTACTTATTGTCGCGATGGTGATCGCGCTTTATTTGTGGATGTCGATTATTGCGGACTGGACCGCACTGGTGTATCAAGAATGTCGAGTATTGCGTGTTAGAGCGCTCAAAGTGGTGTCGATTGTTTCTAAGTATATTAGAATCTGCCCGAATGTCGTGAACTGGCTGTATATATCTCTATTCGCCAAAATGGGGAGTTTACCTTGTTGGCAAATCATGGGCCTTTCGCCCCCTACAGCCGCTCTCCTGGGCCCTCGTGCACTCCCCCGTGGTCCGCAGAGTAGGGCGGTGGCAGAGAGGGAGAGACGGTCCCAAACGGGGGTGTCAGCCCCGCGTGGCGATTTTGCCGAAACGTCGACTTTGCGGGTTTATGGCATGTTTACCGTTACTGAGCGCGCAGAGGCAAGTACCGGCTTACCATGTGGCCCGCAGAAGTGGAGAATTTCCGCGGCCATCAGATAATAAGCCGGATTTGCCCTCTGGCTTGAAGAGGCTATTATTACCAAAAAACTTGTAGAAAAACTTCTGAAAAGTAACGTCGCTTGGAATCCGTGCCATAAACCCCTGTTGGTTAAACAATGTTCATATTTAAATCTATTTTTCTTCGGTTCTTTAAAATTGTATGTTTTTCTTAATTAAAACAATGCAAAGGTAATATCGTACAGTTCTCTTGTCAAATAGTAAACCTTCCAATTTTCTGGGATTTTTCTAATTAACTTTATTTTTATATTTCAACTATTCTCTCTATAATATTCGATAAAATTTCAACGATTCGCTAATGAGCCATTGATACGGATAAATGAAACTTCACCTTACAGTCATCGTTTCAACGAGAAAATCCAGCTTCAACAACTTCCGTATGCAAATTAATGATACATTCCTCCCTATAAATGTCCCGAAATTATAGTAATTCCGACTAATTACTCGGTTCGTTAATTTTCCATGAAACTAAACTACAGGGACATGTTAATGCAGATTTGATTTTCTACCGATAAAATAACGACTGAATTACAGTTTGTATGTTACTTGATACGTTAATTCACGGGTCAATTATGAAGTATAGCAATACTTTGTCGAGTTACGCGGATACTCTTAAACTACTGTTCATTAAAACAGAAATAATGAAATAAAAACGTAACACTCTATTCTCTACATTCTACTTTTACATGTTTTTATATATTTTATAAGAAAAGAGAAAATGAATTACCAAACAAGGCTTAAATATGCAAAACTTGCAACACGTGATAATCTAAATTACAGTAAAGACTAAATAACGTAAAATAAAAAATTTAAGGTCAAAATTTAGCGATGTTATACGGCTGGAAAATGTTTGGTCATTACGTTTCGCTCGAAATTTCACATGCTTGTTGCATTGCAATCGTATACACAATACGAGAAACTTTCCGTTTACGCGGTTTCATATTTTAGTCGTTCGATATAAATTATCGTTAAATATCTCGCGTAATTACGTTATTATGTCGGAATACAGTAAATTCTCTACAAGAGTCAGTAAGTTTGGATTCTACAAGTGACAGTATAGATGGTCCTACGCCTAGGTCTACGTCATTATCTCGCAAGCGTGTAACACTACACCAGTCGTGTATCAAATCATAATAGAAAAATATAATTTCTTTAATTTTACTTTTTTTTTTACTGCTAAACAATTAGAATTAAATGTAATGATAGAAATTATTGCAATAATGCGTAATGCAATTGAAAAATCGCAGAAAAGTCTGATACAAATGTTTGAAAAGTAAAATATATAAGATGAGATACAGTATCTTACCACGTAATGTAACTTTTTATTGTGTAACATATTAAAAACACCGTTTGGGAAAAATTTATCACAGAATTGCATTTCTTATTTAATCTTCCTTTACTGCTACTTCTTGTGAAATTTTATGTCAGAAAATTGAAAAAATTCTTCTTTGTGTTTCGTAGGCAATTGATTGCTAATTTGCTATTGACAGATCGATGTTAAAATTTGATGTTAAATGGAACTTTCATATCTACCATAGAATCTGAATAATTTTTCAAGGTATTTTATTAAGAAACGCGCACATAGTGTTCAATTTTCTATCTTAGAATTAACTTACTTTATCTTACGAACTACTTAAAGTTAAAACTTTCGACTGTGTGTGAGAATCAGAGTGTCGACGGGTACGCGTAGTTCTTAGCTTGGTATCCTTTTGCAAAAGTGAGAATTTTCTTTGGAAAAGGATACCAATTACCAGGTCCCACCACGAGGAGGTGACTACGCAAGGGACCCGACAAAAACACATGCCCTACTGGCAGCTCTCTATCTTCAGAGATACGCGATTCTCATTCGTAGCAAAGGAGATAAGACACTTTCACACACACTTCACACTACATTTTTCAAATATACAATGAAGGTCTGTAAGAAAAGTATATAATTAATTTGCAATAGGAGGATAAATCGTTACGATATCATTATTATTTGTATTTTATTTACATATACAAAATCATAATAATGAAGTTCTGTAAGAAAAGTATATTATTAAATTGGAATAGGAGGATAAATCGTTAGAATATC